TCTTTATATGGCCATCGATTCTAAATGACAGCTTTGCAGGATACAGTAATCTTGGTTGTAGGTTCTTGCTTTTGATCACTCTGAATATTTCTTGCCACTCCCTTCTGGTCTGCAAAGTTTCTTTTAAGAAATCAACTGACAGCCTTATGGGAACTCCCTTGTAGGTAACTAACTTCTTTTCTCTTGCTGTTTTTAAGATTCTCTCTTTGTCTTGAACCTTTTGCAATTTGATGATGATGTGTCTTGGTGTGGGCCTCTTGGGGTTCATCTTATTTGGGACTCTCTGTGCTTCCTGGACTTGTATGTCTGTTTCCTTCACCAAGTTAGGAAAGTTTTCTGCCATTATTGTTTCAAACAGGTTTTCGATTTCTTGTTCTCTCTCTTCTCCTTCTGGCACCCCCAGGATGTGAATGTTGGCACGCTTGAAGTTGTCCCAGAGGCTCCTTACACTATCCTCATTTTTTTGGATTCTTTTTTCTTTTTGCTGTTCTGATTGGGCGTTTCTTGCTTCCTTATATTCCAAATCGATGGTTTGCTTCTTGGCTTTACCTACTCTACTGTTGAATCTGTGTAAATTATTCTTTATTTCAGTTAATGCCTCCTTCAATTCTGACTGTGCATCCTTCATTTCTGACTGATCCTTTTTATGCTCTTAAGGCCCTCACTGAGTTCACTGAGGTTCTCACTGAGTTCATTGAGTATCCTTATAAGCAGTATTTTGAACTCAGCATCTGTTAGGTTGCTTATCTCCATTTCGCTTAGTTCTTTTCTTGGGGTTTTTTTTCTGTTCTTTCATTTGGGACCTGTTTCTTTGTCTCCTCATTTTGGCTGCCTCCCTGTGTTTGTTTCTGTGTATTACTTAACTAGAGGTATGGGGCAATCTGAGACCAGATGCTGCTTGTTTGAAAGAATTTAGGAAAACCTGAAGCAGGATCCAAGACAGGCCAATCCTATGGTTAAGCAAGTGCCAACAGCTTGGGTGGGCTTGAAAGTTGGGTGGGGCGGGGCCTCAGGGACTCACAGGGCAGGGCTACCAGTGTGAGCCAGGTTGCTGGAGTCCCAGATATGGCAGCTGTCTGCTGCCCCAGGGAAGGGCTCACCAAAGGAACAAAGGCCCCTGACAGCACGTTTGTCCCGGAGAAAGCCCCCTCTCCAGCCCTCGCTCCAGTGCCAAACAGCTCAGTTCTTCCCTGTATGTCTCTGGCGCCCCTCCAGCTGCCTCCCCTCCAAGCTTAGAGGGAGAGAGTCCGATAAGTCCGTGCGCGGGCCCTTTAGGGAGCTGCCTGGGGCTCCAGCCGCATCAGCTTCCCTGAGACTCAGTTCCCACTGGTTTTTCCAGCCAGAAGTTATGGGGATTCTCTTCCTGGCACTGGAACCCTGAGCGGGGCACCTGGTGTGGGACAGGGACCCCTCAGTCCTCAGGAAGGACCTTCCCAGCCAAGGTGTCCTCCTGATTTTTATCCGCCACACGTGGGTGTGGTACCAGCTCGTCTGGCCACCGGCCCTTGCGCTGGAGGACAGTTTTTTAATTTTTTAAAATTTTTTATCCTCACCTGAGGACATTTTTTGCATTTTTATTTTAGATAGAGTGTAAAGGAGAAAGGAAGGACGAGAGAGAGAGAGAAACATCGATGTGAGAGTGACAGACACATTGACTGGTTGCCACCCTTACGACCCCAGCTGGGGCGGGGACAAACTGCAACCGCTGTAGGTGCCCTTAGCGGGAACAGAACCCTGGACTCTCTAGTCCTTGGGCTGATGCTCTAACCACTCATCCAAACTGGCCAGGGCTGGAGGACAGTTTTAAATGTGATAAAAATAGGCCTCATTGCCCAGCCGGTGTAGGTCAGTGGTTAGAGCCTCGGCCCTCCCACTGAAGGGTCTCAGGTTCAATTTCTAGTCAAGGTCACATACCTGGGTTGCAGGTTTGATCCTCACCTCCGTAGGGGCATGTTCTGGAGACAACCGATCAATGTGTCTCTCTCACGTCGATGTTTCTCTCCCTTTCTCTCCCTCCCTCCCTCCTTTCCACTCTCTAAAAATCAATGGAAAAAAATATCCTCGATGAGGATTAAAAAAGAATAGGCCTCACTGACATATCTGATGATATATATATCTGATCATATACTTGAATGAGATGAAAGGGTAAGCCATACATGTGGGGGAAAGTTCTATACAGAGGGAACAGCAAGTACAAAGGCCCTGGGGTGGATGTTTGTCAGGTGTATTTGGGGAGTAGCAAGAATGCCAATGTGGCTGAAACAGAGAGAGTGAGGGAGATTGGTTGGAAATAAAGTCACAGAGGAAATGGGGTTAACTCATGCAGGGCCTTTCACTCGATGTGAGGTGGGAAGCTATAGGCAGGCTTAAATGTTAACAGGATTCCTTGGCTGTTGTGTGAGTAGACTGATGTGGGGAATTGACACAAGCAGGGAGACCACTTAGGAGGCCGTCATAGTGTCCAGGTGAACAATGTTAGTGACTTGGACCAGGTGGCAGCAGTGGAGGTGGTAAGGAGTAGTCAAGAGTCTACACTCTAGACAGGCAGAATGTAGTTGCTAAGGGGTCAGAAATAGGGTGTGGAAGAAAGAGAGGACTCTGGGATAACTCTAAGTTCTTGGATCTGAGCAATTGGAGGGAAGAAGAGCCATTTGCTGAGATGAGAAAGATTGTGTGTGGGAGAGATTTGGGGCAGAAAGTTAGGGGGTTATTTTGAACATGTTGTGTATGAAGTGCCTATTCAACATCTCAGTGGAGACATATGGTGGCAGTTGCCCCTACCGATCTAGCATTCAGGGAAGAGGTTTACACTGGGAGTGAAAATTTGGGAATTATCCTAGCAGAAATTTAAAGTCACAAAACTAAATGAGAGCAACAGGGGGGTGGGTTTAGACACAGAAGAGGTCCAACGGCTGATTGCTGGGGCATCGAACACTAAGAGAGCAGGGCAACAAGGAAGAACCAGCCAAGAAGAATGCAGAGGAACAGCTAGTGAAACCCGAGGGAGGGGAGAGGAGAGGTGTAAAGGATGAAGAAAGGTTTCAAGGAAGAGGAGGGGTTAGCAGCTCTGTCAAATGCTACTACTAGGTAGACTAAGATAAGTAATGAGCCCTGAGCACTGTGGCTCAGTTGGTTGAGCATCCCCGGGTGCACCAAAAAATTAACGGTTTGATTCCCCATCAGGGCACATACTGAGGTTGTGGACCCAATTCCCAGTTGGGGTGCATGTAGGAATGTTTCTGTCTCACATCAATGTTTCTCTCTCTCTTTCTAAAATAAATAAAAACATTTTAAAATTAAAAAAAAAAAGTTGAGGAATGAAAATGTCCAGGGAGATTGAGCAACAAAAAAACAGTCCTGTTTATCATAAGGAAATGGTCAAAAGTTTACATACAAGAATTCTTATTATCATAGCTGTGTTTATAATAAAGAAAATGTCCTTGCACTGGCCAACTTGGCTCAGCGGTTGGAGCATCAGCCTGCGGACCAGAGGGTTCAGTTCCCACTTAGGGGCATGTACCCCCAAAAAAGAAAATGTCCAAGCACAAAGGAATAGCTACATAAATATAAAATATTATGTAGCAATTACAAGACAAATGAAGAACATTTATTATTATTTTTTTAATGTCTTTATTGATATTTTAGAGGGAGAGGAAGGGAGACAGAGAGAGAGAGAGAAACATTGATGTAAGAGAGAAACTTTGACCAGCTGCCTCCTGCACACCCCCTACTGGGGATCAAGCCTGCAACCTGGGCATGTGCCCTGACAAGGTATCAAACTGGGACCTCTCAGTCCATGGATGATGCTGAATCCACTGAGCAACACTGGCTGGGCTTGAATGAAGAACATTTAACAACATGGAAAATGTTCACAATAAGGCAAAAAAGCAAAATATAAAACTATATATAGTGTAGGATCCCTAGTCTGTTTATTTAAACACTTTTAATTCATAAGGATATTTATTAATGCATTAAAAAAACATGGGAATGCCATGGCCGATCTGGCTCAGCGGTAAAGCATTGGCCAAAGGACCAATGACTCGCCGGTTCGATACCAGCCAAGGGCATGTACCTTAATTGGGCTTCATCTCCAGCCCTGGTTGGGGTCGTGCGGGAAGCAACCAGTTGATGTGTCTCTCTCATATCCATGTGTCTTTCTCTCTTCCTTTCTCTCCCTCTCTCTCACTCCCACTGTGCCTAAAGATAAATAGAAAAATATCCTCAGGTGAGGATTAAAAAATAAATAAATAAAAACCCTAGGAAGCCCGGCTGGTGTGGCTCAGTGGTTGAGCATTGACCCATGCACCAAAATGTTGCAGGTTCAATTCCCGGTCAGGGCACATGCCCAGGTTGTGGGCCAAATCCCCAGTGGGAGCATGCAGGAGGCGGCCAGTTGATGTTCCCTCTCATTGATGTTTCTATCTCTCCCTTTCCTTTCCTCTCTCTCTAAACAATAAGAAGAAAAGTTAAAAAAAAAAAAAGGGAACATTTCTTAAATTAAAATAAAATTAGCTGACCTCTTTTTAAAACATGTACTTACTGATTTCTGAGCACGAGAGAGATTTGAGAAATTTGTTGTTCCACTTATTTATGCATTCATTGGTTGATTCTTGTATGTACCCTGACCGGTGATCGAACCCACAACCTTGTCGCATCAAGACGATGCTCTAACCAACTGAATTACCTTGCCAGGGTCTTAAATGTTTAGAATTGTCATTAGAGCAATTACTAAAATTTTAGATCACAGAACCCTGTATCTAATGGAAACTATGGATTCTCTCCAGAAAAATGCATTCACACAAGGAATTCATCAACTCCTGAGGTGCAGGTTATAGAATTGTCTTTGAGGCAATGGGTTAGGGGACTAACTCCATAGGAGAAAGGAAATCCCAGCCACAGTTCTCCCCAGACTCAGCGGGTAAGAGATGGACAGGGAGAGGCCCTGCCAAGAGGACTGCTCCCTGCTTCTCCCCACCCCCAACACCATCCTCTTCACTTACAGCATCTTGAGCCACTGACATGATCTGGGATCTGGTTGGCAAGAGCCAAGGCTTCAGAGCTGGAAACAAAGTGGCAGAATCGGCTTCTTTCTACCTTCTGAGAAGTGATCTCCCCCAGTAGAGCCTGAAAAGCACTTTAGAAGGCTCTGTCTGCAGGCTCTTTGCTTCCACTTTCGTTTCAGCTAAATAAATCCCTGCCCTTTGATGCTCACATGCCGGAAATGTCTTTTCCCCACCCCTGGAGGAGCCTTCCTGGTCTCTAAGTAGAATTCCCCCAGCTAAACTATGAGGCTTCCTGGGTTAGGTTCCCACTGGGGGCATGTACCACCAAAAAAACAAAAACAAAAACAACTGAGGCCTCAGGGGAAGCTAATTTACTAAATGCAACTCAATTCTGGCCCCAATCAACCATTCCCAGACGTTCAATCCCAGCAGAAGCCCATTGGTAAAATTTTGTCTGCATTGTTGAATGGTATTTCCCTACAGCCCAGCATGTCAGGCACATGCAGACATTGATAAAACAACTGAATGACAAATGCAACCAGGACAAAGCCCCTCCATCAAATTCACAAAGCTGTTATAATAGCATTTGTTGAGAGCTGCTATGTGTCCAATACTGGTTCTGCTTTGAATGAATTAAACTGTTTTCAAAACCCTTTTAGTTCTACTTTCCCAATTTTAGAGATGAGATTCTAAACTTCTGAAACACAGAGTATATAAACTTGTCCAATATCACATTACAGGAAGTGAAGCATGTATCCAAACCTGGTTGGACAGTATTTGAACTTTGGATTTGAGGCAGAGAACTTGAATTTTTAGTCAAAGCAGGGTCTATTTATTATCATTTTTTAAAAATAATTTTATTGCTTTTTTGAGAGGGAGAGAGAGAAACAACGATGTGAGATACATCAATTGGCTGCTTCCTGCACTGTCCCCACTGGGGACTGAACCCACAACCCAGGCATGTGCCCTGACTGGGACCTCTCAGTCCATGGGGCAACGCTCACTCCACTGAGCCACATTTGCTGGGCCACAGCAGGGTTTAAATTTATTTTCATTTGTGACTCTCAGTAGACAAGCTAACAGTGTCTCAAGAGAGGCCCAATACTTAAAGATGAGAGGAGCCAAATGAAAGTACGTAACACTGTGTGGTGTTTCCTAGTATTTTCACCTAGTCCGGGGTTTTTACACCAAGAACAACTTACTGAGCCCCTTTCTCACAGCCCTGCACCCCAGGTGGAAGGGTGCCAAGTGCCTCAGCTTGGCAAATAGCCTCTGGATCCTAGTTTCTTTTATTTTCAATCTTCACCCTAGGATATTTTTCCATTGCCCTTTAGGTCACAGGTTCCATTCCAGAATGGGAAGGAGAAACATTGATGTGAGAGACACATAGATTGGTTGCCACCTGCATGACCCCCACCAAGGCCAGGGATCAAACCTGCAACCCAGGAACACACTCTTCTGTCCTTGGGCCAACAAGCCAACTGCTGAGCCAAGCTGGCCGGGGCTAGTTTCCTATAGACTTCAGTCCAGCTCAGCTGAAAAGCCGATTTCATCCGTAAAACAGGGTCACAAGTATCCCAAGCTCCTTGAATCACACCCTTTCTTGCTGGTCTCACTAGGAATGGCTGCTCTGGGCCTCTGTCTCCATCCAGTGTGGTCCTCATCACAGCACCGGCATCATCAAACGACCTGCTAGAAATTCTCATCAACTAAATCTGAATCACAGGGTGGGATCCTGGTTTGACAAACTACCAGTGCTAAGCTTTGAGAACCTCAGGTTAGTTCTCAGTTTGAAGTAGCCAGTGCCCACCCACTCAGAGGGGCCTTTGGTTGTCACGATTGGTGGGTAGTTCAGGTTCTCTAGGTGCATAATGAGCTGAAGTCAGGGATGTCAAAAAAAAAAATCTACACGTATATATGTCAGCAGTAACCCTTTTGGGAAGCAGTTCAGTAGATCTCACGTTACCCATCGATGCAGCTAGATCATTAAAGGATTATCCAGCCAAGAACTAGTCCAACTTTCACAAAGGCAGATTTACCTTTTATATTTTTCCACAGCCCCATATCCACCAATCTTTCATCATATGACTGCCCTCCTTTCCCAGATTAATAATACATGCAACAGGCACTGGCCAGCTTGGCTCAGCAGTTAGAGCGTTGGCCGAAAGACCAATGAGTCGCAGGTTCCATTCTGGTCAAGGGCACATCTCTCGGCTGCAGTTCGTCCGCAGCCCTGGTTGGGGTCATGCGGGAGGCAATCAGTTGATGTGTCTCTCCTGCATCAATGTTTCTTTCTCTCTCCTCCTCCCACTTTATCTGAACAAAAATGGAAACATACCGAGTGAGGATTAATAAATAAAAAAATAATAATAGTAATACATGCAACAGGAAGACACAAGGATCTTTTTTGGACTTTTAATGATCGAAACAAAAAAGATCTAAAAGCGCAGCTTCTGGAAGAACCATTTGTTCTTGCCGGTCTTGTACCTAGAAAGGGAAAAAAGACACCAATGAGAAGAGGAACAGAGAGATAAAATTTCCTTCATGGGAGTTAGTTAACACCACATAACTCAACATCCACCACCAAAGCCTAACTCACCTCTCTTCGAACTTGACCTTGGCCTCCCGTCTGGCCTTGCGTTTCAGAGCAGGGTCTCTGAAGACGTCCTTGTTGACGACAGTTTTGTCCAAGGGGATATCCACAGAGTACCTGGGGACAATGGAGGGGAGACAGGATCAGCCCATATGCTGCCCAGGCCTTCATATACTCAAGTCCTCCTGGGACACTGTGGAGCTAGGATGTGGCTCCACAGGAGCAATCACCAAAAGCTGTCCCAAGTCCTGGATGATAATCTTTGGACATCTCCAATAGTAACAAACTCATTTACATACATTCAAGCTATTGGAAAACTTCATACTTCATATTTCATTCTTGTATTTCCCACACTCATTTTCTAGCTAAGAACCATCATTGTTGCCCTGGCTGGTTTGGTTCAGCGGTTAGAGCGTCGACCTGCGGTCCCGAGAGACCCTGGTTCGGTTCCCGCTAAGAGCATGTACCTCGGTTGCAGTTTCCCCCCGGCCCTGGTTGGTCATGCGGGTGGCAGCCACTCGATGTGTTCCTTTCACATCGATGTTTCTCTCTCTCTCTCTGTTCCTCTCTCTCCCTCCCACTCTACCTGAACAAAAAAATGGGAAAATGTCCTCGGGTGAGGATTAAAAAAAAAAGAACCATCACTGTTAAAATTTTACTTTGATCCCCAGTGGGTGGCTAGCTTTCTATTTAGAGCCACTGTATTTAGTATTGTTCAAGTTCTGCCTATGCAGGGTGAACCATTATGGTAATGCAAATGCCGGGTGGCTAGCTGCCTCAATCTCATGGAAACAAATAGGAAAAAAAAAATCTTTACTCAACATTTAGAATTTCCAGGTAAGAAAGACAACGAGCAAGTCTGGAGATTTTTCAGTCTTGCTTGTCCAAGTTAGGGAAATCACCACAGAAAACAACAGGAACATGGCTCTAAGATGTAAGGAAGGGGCAAGGCTGGAAACCAGTCACTTTATAAGTGACATGTTGAACACCACATAAATAAAACGAAGGATAAAAACCACACAATCATATCAATAGATGCTGAAAAAGCATTCGACAAAATCCAGCACCCATTTCTGATAAAAACTCTCAGCAATGTGGGAATAGAGGGATCATATCTCGACATAATAAAGGCCATATATGAAAGATCTAGAGCCAACATCATACTCAGTGGGCAAAAACTAAAGGCACTTTCCTTAAGAACAGGAACAAGACAGGGATGTCCACTTTCGCCACTCTTATTTAACAGAGTACTGGAAGTCTTAGCCACAGCAATCAGACATGGGGGAAAAATAAGAGGAATACAAATTGGAAAGGAGGAAGTGAAACTATCATTATACGCAGATGACATGATATTATACATAGAAAACCCTAAAAACTCCATCAAAAATCTAGAGTTAACAAATAAATTTGGTAAAGTAGCAGGATAGAAAATTAATGTCAAGAAATCGATGGCATTCTTATACACCAATGATGAAGTCACGAAAAGAGAAACTAAAAAAAAACAATCCCATTTACCATCTCGACAAAAAAATTAAGATATCTAGGAATAAACTTAACCAAAGAAGTAAAGGACCTATTTGCAGGAAACTACAGAACATTGAAAAAAGAAGTAGAGGAAGATAAGCACACACCTTGTTCATGGATTGGAAGAATTAACATCATTAAAATGTCCATATTACCCAAAGCAATCTATAGATTCAATGCAATCCCCATCAAAATATAAACATATTTCACAGAACTAGAACAAAAACTTCAAAAGTTCATATGGAACAAAAAAGACCCTGAATAGCCACAGCAATCTTGAAAAAGAAGGACAAAGTAGGTGGGATCACAATACTGGATATCAGGTTATACTATAAAGCTACTGTAATCAAAACAGCCTGGTACTGGCACAAGAACAAGCATACAGACCAGTGGAACAGAACAGAGAACCCAAAAACGAACCCAAGACATTATGCTCAATTAATATTTGACAATGGTGGCAAGAGCATACAATGGAGTAAAGACAGCCTCTTTAATAAAGGGTGTTGGGAAAATTTGACAGCTATATGCAAAAAAAATGAAACTAGACCATCAACTTACACCATACACAAGAATAAACTCCAAATGGATAAAAGTCTTAAATGTGACCTGTGAATCCATAAAAATCCTAGAAGGAACTGTAGGCAACAAAATTTCGGACATCACACACAGCAGAATTTTTACTGATACATCACCTAAGGCAACAGTAACAAAGGAAAAAGTGAACACATGGGATTACATCAAACTAAAAAGCTTCTGCACAGCAAAAGAAAAAATCATCAAAATGGAAAGAGAACCCATTGTATGGGAGACCATAATTGCCAATGATACATCAGATAAGGGATTAATTTCCAAAATATATAGAGTGCTCACACAACTCAACAAAAGGAAGACAAAGAACCCAATTAAAAAATGGGCAGAGGAGCTAAACAGACACCTTTCCAAACAGGACATACAAATGGACAAGAGACATATGAAGAAATGCTCAACATCACTAATCACCAGAGATGCAAATTAAAACAATGAGGTATCACCTCACACCCGTCAGAATGGCCGCCATCAACAAATCATCAAACAACAAGTGTTGGCGAGGGTGTGAATAAAGGGCGACTCTAGTACACTGCTGGTGGGAATGCAGACTGGTGCAGCCACTATGGAAAACAATATGGTGTTACCTCGAAAA